TTTTTTATAATTTTTTTCAAATTAAAAACCAATAGTATCTGATCCCCGAAAATCCATGGCTCTGAATTTCAATTACGTAAAGATTTACAATCGACACCCTTCATTTGACGGTATCTTCCACAGAGGCGTCATTTTACAATCTTTACGCGGTTTTTCCTCTCTCCGTTTTTTGTCCGGTTCTCTTATGGTCAGACGCAAAGATGGAATTTTGAAATGCTTTAGGAATTTCCTACGACTAGGGTTTTTGTCCAAGGGAAGGAGGGAGAAGAAGAAGAAGAAGCGAATAATGGCACCACCGGTGAGGATTGCGGGAGTTGATCAGGAGTTGCGGAGGATTTTGGAGGCTAACATGGACGAGGTGCCTAATCGGAGGAGGGCCCGGGAAGCATTTAAGGATATTCAACTTGGGATTGACCATATTTTATTCAAGGTAATTGCTTCCAGATTTCTGTAATTTAAGTCTTTGATTTCCTCTGGTTAAAATTAAGGAAAGGGTTGGAATAATTTAAATTTGTTATTAGATAAATTCTTATTAATTTAATTTTTAATTTTGATTGTGTTGCAGACTCCGTCTGATGGAGTGAAAACGAATGAGGTAAAAAGCTCGACTGCTGTTATTCTTGTGTTTTTTTTCCTTATATTACGTTATGCCTTTAAAGCATTTATTATGCTGTACTAAGGGTGTTAATGGGGGGAAAGAGTTGCATCAGAAAAAGGGTGTGAGAGAAAGAAATGAAATTTCCATTCCTTTCCCAAGCCCTCTTTCTGCTTTGACTGAATTTTGACATGGGGGTTGTGACATTTCACCTTTTTTTATATAATTTTCATATATCATTTATGTATTTAATATTATGTCTCAAATAAAAAAAAAATTAATTATTTAAATAATTTAAAGTTATATCATACAAAGAACTTATCCCTAAATTAGTTTCTTTGACTTTTGAGAAGATAATATTAGTTTGTAACTTTGGATTCAAATGAAAATTGGTTCTTTTATGAACAATTTTATAGCATTATTTTGTTTATACAGAACTGTAAGCAGTATCTGGATTAGTGTAAAAAATAGACATGGAAGTAATTGGTTCCTGGGGAAAATGAAAGTAATTGCTTTTGTTTTATTTCTTCATTCCCTGAGATCACAACTGTTTCTACAAAAGCTGCTTTTTTACACTTGTCAATAAACACAAGTACACAACCCATGTGTTTTACAAAGTAGCTGTAGTCTACTTTTTTGATTGCTTGATATTTTTGTGGTACAGTCATTTGAGGTGAACTCTAGAGGATTGGAAGTTTTCTCAAAAAGTTGGCTTCCAAAGACCACTCGCCCCAAAGCGATGGTATATTATTGTCATGGTTATGGAGACACCTGCACCTTTTTCTTTGAAGGCATGTAGTTCAGAGCTAGTATTAATTTTGTAGCTTTTTGGTATATTATTTTTTGGGACCTCATTATCCTGCGGCATTGTTAACAGGACTTGCAAGAAAGTTGGCATTATCTGGATATGGAGTTTTTGCAATGGATTATCCAGGATTTGGCATGTCAGAAGGTCTTCATGGCTATATTCCCAGCTTTGACAGGCTTGTTGATAATGTCGTTGAGCTATACTCAAAATTTAAAGGTGTGGTTTTCTTGAATCTTTATATGGAAACTCAGTAGTGGGGAATTTGATTAGTAGTAGTGTCAGACTCTCACGTGGTACCAAAGTTTATTTGGGATTGGGCTTAACTTTCTTAGACGGAAAGTTTGATAGGTAGCTCTGGTTTGGAGCCTTGTTAATGACTAGGATATAGTTGACCCCTGGTAGAACATATTTTTGGTTGAAACCCGTCAATTCGTTTGTGATCAATGATATCTTAAAACTAAAAGTTCATTAATGTCTCTTTTTACTACATAGAACTTGTCAACTGATTTATTATTGAATTCTTTTTTCTTGGGTTCAATTGCAGAGGATCCAGATTTCAGTACTCTTCCAAGTTTCCTCTTTGGACAGTCCATGGGTGGAGCTGTAGCTCTGAAGGTGCACCTAAAGCAACCTAATGAATGGAGTGGTGCCGTTCTTGTGGCACCCATGTGCAAGGTATTTTCTGAAACATGATTCTAGAAACTCTGTGCATTCTGGTTGTGCTTCCAATTAATTTAAATTCTTTGTTTAGATTGCAGATGACATGGTTCCACCCCCAATAGTAACTAAAGTGCTGATCGGTGTAGCTAAAATTCTTCCGAAACGTAAGTTGGTCCCACAAAAGGATTTGGCTGAGGCAGCTTTTAGGGAAACAAAGAAGAGAGAACAGGTATGCCACTTTACTTGAATGGAAAACTGTGAGGGTTAAAAATATATCTAGTGTTATTTTACATGTTTGCTTGCAGTAAATGATACAAGTAGTAAATAGGTGTCTGGCTTTGGGAATTGTTGGTGATACTCTTCTATGAAGTAGGGGTTCCAAGTGCTAATTCCCCCTCATCTGAACTCTCTCTGCTATCCAAGGAAGAAAATAACCTTGATGGGACGTATGTAGGCTAGTGGTGCTTATGTTGAATAATGCATGAGAATGGTTTTTTTTATCTTGTGGGATATTTAATTCCCTTCGGATACCTCTTCCATGTTCCTTGGGGCCCCTATGATTCTGACAGTACATATTTGAATGAGTGGCCACAAATTTTCTTTTCCTCCAAATGCAGGTAGCCTATAACGTTATTGCTTACAAGGACAAGCCAAGGTTGCGTACTGCTGTAGAGATGCTGAAAACGACTCAAGAGATAGAACATAAATTGGATAAGGTATACTGATTTCTTTTTAGTGTCTTTTCTTCCCTTTCAATCTGTAAATTAAATTGAATCAACTGCTTCCATATTTACTACTTTTTGTTTCACCACAATCGTGCCCTATCCATCTTTACAGTTGATTCATATAATAAAAACTTGCATGCCAAAATTTTACCACTGTAATTTCAGGTTTCATTGCCAATGTTAATCCTGCATGGAGAGTGTGATGTTGTTACAGACCCGTCTGTAAGCAAAGCCTTATACGAGAAAGCAAGCAGTTCAGACAAGAAGTTCATTCAGTACAAGGATGCTGCTCATTCTCTTCTAGAGGGCGAGCCAGATGATATGATAGAACGTGTTTTTAGTGATATCATTTCTTGGCTTGATGAGCACTGCGAAGAGAGACCATAACTCTTCTCTCTTGTACAAAAAGATTAAAAAAAAAAAAAAAAATTGGCAGTAAGGATCGAAGGTCAATAACTGGAGAAGAATACGGGTAATAATAGGTTGTCGCATACATGCATTACATTGAATGATTCTTTGGGGGTAGATTTGAAGATTATATTAAACTCTTGAGAATTCTTTCAGCAACAGATCAAGATTTCGTTATTATTATTATTATTATTTTTATTATTTGGATTAATTATGTAGTTATTTCCATGAATTAGAGCTTTTGGTCGATTTTTCACCCATCAACTCACACATTCAAGAAATGCATCTTTTTTTACCTAATTTTGTCAAACCCACCATGCAGTATACATTATAATGTTGTACACCGATTTTGAAATTGTAAGTATTTATTTATTTTATTTTATTTAAAAATAAAATTCTTTGAAACATGATAAATATATTTCTTCATTTTGCTTCAGAGATTGTTTTATTATTATCCAAACAAAATAACTCTTTTTTATTTTAAATCTCATTTAATATATAAACACGATACTTTTAAAAAATTATATACGAGTGTTAGAAAAGCTTTCTCTTAATATTTTTATTGTTTTAAAAGCAATAGGTATCTTTTAATTTTATCTTTATATTAAGACTTTTGAGATAATTTTTATTTTTATTTATTTTATTTTCAAAGAAATAAATAAAAATTTTTATTTTAATTAAAGGTTGAATAATTAAAGTTAAAAATAATTTTAAAATTAAGGTAAAAAATTATATTCTTTAAAATAAAAAAATAATTATTATTTTGTGACAAATTTTAAATTAAAAAATGTCTATCATCTAAGATAAAGAGTGAATTTTCTTTTAAATGCTTTTAAAGTGATTAACTCACATGTAATAAAAATTTAATATATATCACATATATTCCAAACACATAAAAAGTATTCCAAAAAGAACTTTCGGAGAGTATTTCTTAACATTCATCGAACCATAATCCTTTTAACATAATGGAATCCAAATAAGCCAACCATATGAAGCCATGTGTAAAATCAGTGACATCTCGACAAGTGGATCTTGTCCTGTAAATTCGGTACTGCTCCGCTGTAAACTTTTGTGAGTGTTGAATAGCTGTTTCGCTGTGTTCAAGCACTTTGAGTTATTGAAATGAATTTTCTCTTCCCCTTTTTCCATCCCATAGCAATGATTTCACCATTTCTCTTTTTGGCACAGCGTTTCCAATTTCAGTAACATAATAACTCTTGCTGCTATAAGTATAACCCAAGTGCAGACAAGCTCATGAAGAAGGGATTATTGGGTTTCTCAGCTTTGCATCAAACATGGCCTTCCCTTCTTGCATCTGCTGCCCTCTCTCACTCAAGGTCTTTTCTTTTCTTGAAATTTTTTCTCCCTATGTCATTCTGAAGCTTTTGGATTTATGTTTGGTTTCTTCATCTGGGTGTTACTTGAATTTTTTAAATTCCATTTTCTGCAATTTTTTTTATTGTGATGCACATGAAACTGCTGGAATTGGGTCTATGACTCTTTGTTATGCTTTGTAGCTATTTGGGTATTTTATAAACTTGTTTCTGTTAAATTTCTTGCTGGATCTGGATCCGGATTGGATTTATGGCTACAGATTATGGGTAGAGGACCTGGTTTGTGTGTAAAGGCCGCAGCTTTATGTTAGCTATTTACTTTCATCTAGATATATGTCTCAGAAGTGTTTTCTGGGAACCTGAAGGATGTACGTAATTTTAACCTTATTTTTAGTTATTTACATTCCAGTAGCATTATCAGAATGATGATTGAATCCAATATTGCTGATTGGTCTGCTTAAAACTGCAGTCCTTTTAAGTTTCTATTCTCTAAATGAAAACTCCCTTTTTTTTCTTTTCCTTTCCTTTCTCCTCTCTGTTTGCTTTGCATTTCCTCTTTTTTGTTGTTCCATTGCGGTTGAAGTGGTTAGGTTGGGTTCATTTAATAGTTTTTCCAAGTTTTAATTATTAAGTGCCTCAAGTTTTCATTGTAAAGCAATAGAATCTCCTAAAGGCTTTTCACTTCTTTTTTTTATATATATTTCAGCTAAAAGATTTCCTTACGTTTAGTGTCTATTTGTGAGTAGGTTAACCGCATTGAGCGGCAGATTAGGCTTCAGCATAATATTCCAGAAGAAAGATTTGCTTCTTCTGTCAAAAACATGAGCATCAAAGCTTTTGGCCATCAGGGAAGAATGGGAGCTGACTTACACTATGACTGGACTCTTCTTAGAGGATCAAGAGTTGTGCTTGCACCAAAAGTTTCAACTCCTACTCGCTGTAGGAGAAGCTTTGGAGTACACGCTTCATGTAATAAATTTTCAGTCTATTTACTTCTTATTATATAAGTCGTTTTTCGCTTATTTCTTTTGCTTGTCCCAAAGATTTTCTAGATCTCATCATAATTGTTGAATTTCATTGATCACATGCTATCTATCATGTAATTGCAACATCTTTGTCCAGTCCATCTTGTTTGTTAAGCTCCTTCAGAAGAAAAGGGTATACAAAACCAGAAAATACACGCATTCTTTTCTATTGTTTTCTCTAGGATTTTGACAATTTACTTTTTGGGGGCTTTATTTTAGATGCCTTCATACATCTGCTTTGTAGGAGTTTTTATTCTTAAGTAATTTCACGTACTGCTCAAGTATTGGCAACATTTATGTGCTTGAGATCCCATCTTTTGTGTCAGTTTTCCAATCCTATAGTGGAAACTAGTATTTATCAGAAGGAGAAAATACAATGGAGAAAAGGCATAAAAAAAAATTAAAAAAACTGAAATAGTTTTAGTTTAAGTTTCTCTATTTCATTGTAGGTATGAAAGATAGCTCTAAAGTTCTTCCATTTATTGCAATACCCTAGTTAGAATTCTTATGCCTCTTTTGTTCTAAGTGTGGTCTCATGAGTGGTGATAAAAGTTATGAAACAATGATTTTGAGCAGTGGTTTAAAGTAGTAGTTTAAAGATGTAAATTATATTCCTCTCTTCATTCCTAAACTGTATATGCTATCACTTTCATGCTCTTGCTTTTACATCTTCAGGGTTGACAACTTATCAAATTGCTAGTAATGCATTTACCTTAGGAACAGCAGTTGTTCTCCCATTCTATACTCTGATGGTTTTTGCTCCTAAGGCTGAACTAGTAAGTTTTATGATTACCAGGGAGTCTACTTCCTCATCATTCCTTTGTTTTCCTTTCTGTCTCTTTCTCTCTCTCTCTTAATGCAAAAAGTAGTGTAGAATCTCATTCCACCATACTCTGATGGATTACTTATATAATGTAGAATCTCTGTTTTTGAGTTTTTTGAATGCAAAAAAATAGTTCCAAAACAAAAATTGCAGTCTGTCTGATTAAAGTTACCTCTTTTTACCCCAAATTTCTTTCATCTACCAACAAAATAATTCATATTTTGCAAAATAATCTAGGAGTAGATAATTGGAGGACCCAGTTGTAAATTCACGTATTTGGAGGGTACTCTCAGCCTTTGCCACTCAGAAACATTGTTTCTGTAATCACTTATTTACACTTGTAATTCTTTCAACAAGCAGCTTAAAGAACTTTTAATTTAATCATGTACGTTGCACTTTTGGAATGCCAGATGATATGTCTGCAGTTAATTCTATGCATGCATCCAGCATGGGGCTTTTGATATGTTGTCTTCTTAGAAACCTTTTCAAGCCTTCTATATCTCTTAAGAACGTGTATATCTGGTTTTGATGCCCAACAATGCAGACCAAAAAGGTTATGGAAAGCAGCATCCCTTTTGTTGTGCTTGGAATTGTGTATGCATGTTTACTCTACCTCTCCTGGACACCTGATACATTAAAGCTGATGTTTGCTAGTAAGTATTGGCTGCCAGAGGTATGTTTTTATAGCAGTGCTTAAATGATGCTGTAGCTGTTTAGTTTTGTTTGACAAATATTTAACTTTCAATGAATATGAGTGTAAACAGTTCTAGTTTAACTTTTGAGCTGGTTTGGAGTTTCAGCTTCCTGGTATCACCAAGATGTTCTCTAATGAAATGACGATAGCTTCTGGATGGATTCATTATTTGGTTGTTGATCTCTATGCTGCAAGGTCTCTCTCTCTCTCTATCCCTCTCTGCCTTTTCTCTCTCATGTTCATATACATACTTCTGACTCTTGTTATTGTTATTCAATCCAGGCAGATTTTTCTTTATGGATTAGAGAACCAGGTT